CCCTTTGGGAACAATTCCTGTTTAGGATATCCTGCTGGCACTGGGATCCATCCAGCCCCTTAGGGAACAATTCCTGTTTAGGATATCCCGCTGGGACTGGGATCCAGCCCCCTTAGGATATCCTGCTGGCACTGGGATCCATCCAGCCCCTTAGGGAACAATTCCTGTTTAGGATATCCTGCTGGGACTGGGATCCATCCCCCTTAGGATATCCTGCTGGGACTGGGATCCATCCCCCTTTGGGAACAATTCCTGTTTAGGATATCCTGCTGGCACTGGGATCCATCCCCCTTAGGATATCCTGCTGGGACTGGGATCCATCCCCCTTTGGGAACAATTCCTGTTTAGGATATCATGATGGGACTGGGATCCATCCATCCCCTTTGGGATCGGTTCCTGTTTAGGATCAATCCTCCTCAGGGTATCCCGCTGGGACTGGGATCAATCAATCTCCCTTTGGGATCAGTTCCCATTTAGGATCAATCCTCCTTAGGATATGCCACTGGGTAGTGGGATCCATCCCCCTTTGGGAACAATTCCTGTTTAGTATATCCTGCTGGGACTGGGATCAATCGATCCCCCTTTCGGATCGATTCCCATTTAGGATCAATCCCCCTTAGGATATCCCGCTGGGACTGGGATCGATCAATCTCCCTTTGGGATCAGTTCCCATTTAGGATCAATCCCCCCTAGGATATCCCGCTGGCACTGGGATCGATCAATCTCCCTTTGGGATCAGTTCCCATTTAGGATCAATCCCCCTCAGGGTATACCGCTGGGAATAAGATCAATCCCCCTTTGGGATCGATTCCCATTAAGGATCAATCCCCCTTAGGATATCCCACTGGGACTGGGATCGATCCCCCTTTGGGATTGGTTCCCATTTAGGATCAATCCCCCTCAGGGTATCCTGCTGGGACTGGAATCAATCAATCTCTCTTTGGGAACAGTTCCTGTTTAGGATATCCCGCTGGGACTGGGATCAATCAATCCCCCTTTCGGATCAATTCCCATTTAGGATCAATCCCCCTTAGGGATCAATTCCCATTAAGGATATCCCGCTGGGACTGGGATCAATCCTCCTTTGGGATCAATTCCCATTTAGGATCAATCCCCCTTAGGATATCCCTTTAGGACTGGGATCAATCAATCCCCCTTTGGGATCAATTCCCATTTAGGATATCCTGCTGGGACTGGGATCAATCAATCCCCCTTCGGGATCAATTCCCATTTAGGATATCCTGCTGGGACTGGGATCACCCCCACTTTAGGATATTCCATCGGGGTTGGGATGGATCCCTGTTTAGGATAAATCCCCTTTTAGGATATCCCATTGGGACTGGGATCAATCCTCCTTTA